AACATGTAGCATAAGACTTAGTACATAATGGTCCATAAAAATAATGATTATTATTCATTAATTACACGTGAAGAAACAATAAAACAGCTTGGCTCCTTTTTTTTTTTTTTGCAAGACTGGGATTAATCACATAGAACGATGCAATTTTTCTTAGTTGAACATAAGGCAAAACCCAATTTCTATTGCTTCTTTCCTTAGGCCAGTGGACAACTTCACTATTATATTCTTTGAATTGATTTTTCCGGAGAGACTTCATCTTGAACAGAGCTGCCTAATGATGCTGCCAACTTAAAGCAGCAAGTTGTTTCTTACTTTAGTGGATTTATTGGCATTGTTTTTCCATCCAAAAATGTCTTCTTATTGCCACATCCCATTTTTTGTCCAAGAAGAAAAAATCAACACCCATCTCCCCAGTGTAACCTGTGCTTATATAACCTTGTTTTAGGTTAGAAATTTTCTTCTCAAACCCAGGTCTTCAGCCAGGAAATATATGCTTGAGACCTAAATTGGGAGCTAGCTCTTCTACTAGTTGGAACTAGGCTAGCTTTGAACCAGCAGTAATCTACTTGTTAAGAGTATCTGTTCAAAGTGGCAAAGTGGGTATTACTACAAAGACAGGCATTAGAAGTATCTAAGTTATATATATTAGCTCTAATTTTTGTCTACATCCTTCCTTAAATACAAATACACAATATTTGTATCTATAAATAAACACATAGCAAAGTTAGTAATTCTCAGGGATTAATTTATGCCAGCCTAACACTTACAAAATAAAGCACTTAATTTTATTATTTGGCAAGGCTTAAAATTCCCTTATGAAGCACACAACACATTAGTACCATAACATAGATACCAAGTTACAGGCTCAATATGGAGTTAATGAAAATCAAGAGGAATCCTGAGCCTCATAGGGTCTGTAACCTCCAGAAGTTGTCTGCAAAAATTGTATGCATGCATCTGTATGTATGTATGCAAATATTCATTTATCCAAATGTTTCCATAGTTTCATCAAGCAAGACAAAAGTAAGACTTGTACTTTCATTATTACTGATAAGCTTTTAAAGAATAGTTACTGGAGGAAAAATAAAAGGAACCTAGCGGAGGGCTAAAACCACACATGAAGATGTACAGAGCTCAAGGTCTGCTGCACATTTTCTGGGTGGGAATTATAAGGTCAGACAATTAAGTTCTCTAACTCATTCTAGAAAAAGTGCTACATACCTTATTACTGAATATCACTACAGTCACCTTTGAAGTACTCCCCTTGGGAAGCTATGCACCTATTCCAGTGCCTAATCCATCCTTCAAAGCAATTTTGGAATTCTTTTTCTGGAATGGCCATCAGCATTGTCATCGTATTACCCTTGATGTCCCGAATGTCATCAAAATGTCTTCCTTTCAATATTTCCTTTGGTAAATCTTCTGGTAAAGAAAGAAGTCATTGGGGGCCAGATAAGGTGAGTATACTCGGGAGGGTGTCCCAACACAGTAATTTGTTTACTGGCTAAAAATGCCCTCGCAGACAGTGCCCTGTGAGTTGGTACATTGTCATGATGCAAGAGCCATGAATTGTTGGCAAAAAGTTCAGGTTGTTTTCGTCTAACTTTTTCATGCAGCCTTTTCAGCACTTCCAAATAGTAAACTTGGTTAACTGTTTGTCCAGCTGGTACAAATTCATAATGAATAATCCCTCTGATATCAAAAAAGGTTAACAACATCACTGCAACAAGATCTTGAATTTAATCGTCAGACCTCGTAAAACACAGAAACAAGCAAGCAAGCAAAAAACATAAACAGTGGCCATAGGTTGTGGAGCAGGACTTGCAACAAAAAGTAGCTATAGCTTGCCAGGTCCCTGCATTTTGTGGATAGGGACTGCTTGCAAATTTTTCAAGTGGTGGGGATGTAAAGGGTGTGAGATTGCATTTTTCTTTATCAAAGGGGCAAAGTTATGAGAGCGTGAGTGTTCCAGGTTTTTTATTTCAGCGAGGCGAAGGTAAATTATCAGGTACTTTCTTTGCTCCTGTGCCTAGACCTCTCTTTAGAGGCACTTTCTGGGAAGGCAGGGAAGACTAGGGATGCTGCAAGCACGACACAAGTGCCCTAGACCAGAGGGCTGGCTGGCATCCAGCCAAGACAGAATTCGGTTGCACCAGGTTCTGTGAAGTGTCTGTTGTGGTTTTCTAGAGGTGGAGGAGGCTTCTACAGCGCTCCGTCTAGTTAGCGCCGTTCTGCAAATTTGGAAGTCTGCGCCTCCTCGCATTTCACTGCATCAGCAGCATGGTATGTTTCTAGCATTGGCAAGGTCTCTGTGGGGCGATTCTTTTCGGGTCCCTCTGCAGCTCACCACTGGGTCAGGCTCCGCGTCTGATCTCAAGCTTCTCTGGGGTTCTAGCGTTATCCTTCCCTTCCTCAGCTTCTGCTAAAAATCCACTCTCATGAAGCAGATGAGGGGAGCACATTAACGCGCAGTTTTTGTCAGGTGGTCAAACAGGAGTTTATTTCCTTCCAACTAACTTTTGCTGCGCTCTGATACCCCATCTCGATCCCTGCTCCCTCCTTGCCCCTCCTGCTGTCTCTGTGAGCTGAATTTCCCGAAAACTTTGGGGGAGGTTCCTTCTAGCGCTGTTGGGGACCGCGCCTAGTGGCGGGTCTTCTGCAGGGCCAACCCAGGCAGGGACAACGTTCAAGATTTCCTGCTTTCTTGACTGTTTGTTTCACACACATGCGCCCATGTGCAAACACCTACATTTTATATGTTTTAAAGTGCGAAAGGAGTGAAATGCGGTAACCAAGTAGTTAATGAAAAGTGATTCTCCACTAAACTCTGTCAAAATCCCCGCTGTATGACAGCTGGGTGATTTCAAGCAAGTCTTATCCAAAGTCGGGAGGCAAGAGGTGGAGATCCGCCTAGATTTGGCAGATCTCACTCAGGGTCCGGGACTCCACGAAGCAGCAATAACATGGCCGGAGAAAGCCACAGGTTTCCCTTTCGCTGAAGCCAAATTCTAGAAGAAGCAAGTAGTTTTCTCCTTTGCACGCTTCTGGAGCAGACATTGAAAAATAAACGGCTGCCTGCAGCTTGTAACATTCCACTCTGCCTTCCTCTGTCTAGCATCCCTCCAACCATTCTCTCTAATCTTGCCCGCTCCCCTAAAATAGCAGGAAAATTGTTTTCTGGCACACCCTCACTGCAAACACACACACATATTTTGCTCCATCCTGGCCAACGCCCCCACCTAGTGGCTTAGGCTCGCCTGCTTTGCTTCCGTCTGCTGTGGTTTGTAAAAGAAAGTTGCAGTCTGCAAAATAATGAAGTCTAAGTAGACACTTGATGTGGGCTGGAGTAGAAGGATGGTCAGGACCCCTTAAAATGTTGTGCAAATGAGGTTTGATATCACCTGAGCAACGCTGGATGCTAGGAATTAGAGGAAAGAAAAGATGGTGTATTTATCCTCTGCGTGGCTCCTGCAGCCCAGATGCATCCAGAGGAGAAGCATCCCAGTTAAAGGACTACCCTAACCTTTAATGCCTGAATGTGTTTTATTTTCTTCATAACACTTAACAGTGTGTGAAAGCATGTTAATTTTTTACTTGTTCGTGTGGTTATCGTCTGCCTGCCTCTTCTAGAATGCAAACTGTTTGAAAGCTGGGTCTAGGTCTACTCCATTGGCCGTTATACCCCTGATGCCTAGAATCCTGGCATAGAGTAGATGCTCTATTTTGGCCTGTCTGCCTGGCTGGCTTAGAGATGGGCAATTAAAGGAAATTGGGTTAGGGTTGTGTCACCTTGTGCTCTTCTTTCAAAGGATTTCAATTATTCTTTTAAAATTGAATGGATGGGCCAGATAATCTCCGGCTCTAGACAAAATGATACTCTTTAAAATATGGTTACACTTAACCTGATAAATTCATGTTTTGTGGTTTTTGGGGGTTTTTTTGGAGGGGGTCTAGGGGGTTGTTTTTTATTGGATGCATTCTACCTGCCAAACACTGAGGTAGACCCTGGGAACTCATAGTTGGGATGACTTAGCTCTCGGGGCTGAAAATACATTGTGCTTTTCTTTAAACTTTCTCTGACTTGTACTTCTACCCTACATCTGTTTCTGTTAAGGTTGGAGAAGGATCTGTACACAGGGCATCTGTGGCGGGGGTCATGAGACCTAATGGTATTGCTTGGTGCAGCATATTGTTGATACCCTGATGTAGTCGTTGAAGGCGAGGAGAAGCTGGGGGCATGGCCCCAGAGCCGTTTTCTTTCTTTTTTCTTGAATACTAATGACCTCTTTTCTAGGCAGGTTGTGAAAGGCGACGTGCTCACTGCGAACTGTTTTCCAAAGGCAGCGAACTGCTGAGTGGCTGAGGCTGGAGCGGGAGGGTGGAGAGGAAGGTTTAATTTCACAACAGTGAGGCTCTGCTTGTGATACTTTCACATTTTTGCTTTTTCTTTCTTTTTTTTTTTCTTGTTGACTCACAGTTAAAGGGAAGGGGCTGAAAGAAAAGCACATATTTCTAAAACCAGATAGGAAAAATTAGTTGGTGCTGTACCAAGAATTAAGTATGATTTGACGTCCGAAGTATAAAATGCACCGTTGGCCTTTTTCTTCTAAGGTTGTATTACTCGCACCTCCTTCTAACCTGGGTGTGGCCAGAGGGCTGCATAAAATTCCAGAGCTGTGAGTGAGGTAGGGCTGGCCCCACCTAGCACTGGCCGGCCGGGGTGGGAGGGACGCAGCGATTGAGCCTGTGCTCCCAGCTGAGAGCGTGGGTCTAACTTAACTGGAGGGGCGCGCAGCAAGCTCCGAATCCGACAGAGCAAGGACAGGACGCCCTCATCCCCTTTCTCCGCCAAAACTGCGGCACCTGGGTGTCAGGATTGGAAGGGGAGCCAGGGGGTGGGAGGTGGGGAGAGGGGGCGGTAGGACCCGGCGGGAGCTTCGTGGCCAGGGAGGGAACCAGGCGGGTGGAAAGCAGTGGGGGGAAGGGGGGGGAAGAAGACAGGGAAGGTGATGGGGAGCGGGCATCCTCACTCTCCGCGCCGCACCGCAAGAGTTGCACGGCTCGAGCCGACCCGACCTGTACTCTATAAAAGGAGCCCTTCTGATCCGCGGCTCACAGGCTCTTTCCAGGCTGGCGCACGCCTCTGCCCTTCCGCTCCAGCAGAATACTGCCCCTTCCCCGGCGTTCTGCGCTAGGTACCCCAGACCAGTGCGCTCAGCTGCTTGACTCGGAGCGGTGCCCGTGAGTCCGAGGTGGCCGCGGCCGTAACGCGGTAGGAGCAGCTGCAGCCCCAGCCCTGGAGTTCTCCTTGGTGTGGCCCAGTCTCCGCGGGGCAGCTCGTCGGAGTGGCCGGCGCGTGAAAAGAAGGGAGGGCAGAGCTCCGGCGAGAGGCGCGGCAGAGCGCAGCTCCCAGACTTCACCCCACCCAACTCTGGCAGCCGCAGTCGCCGCAGGAAACTGCCACAGCCTCGGGAGGGGGGGGCGGGAATGCGAGACCAGGACTCCTCGCTGGCCTGCACGCTTTGGTCTCAACAGCTAAGAAACTCCTGCTGATCAAGGAGCGCCCAGGTTAGGAGACGCTCAGTCCCGAGCAATTTGGGTAAGAGACCACACCTGGCTAATGCTCCCTCCTCAAACAATACAACACCCTCCTCTACTAGACGCCCCTGTAGAAGCCGGAGCCGAGCGGGGCTCGGTGGGCCAGTCCTTAGCAAGACCGGGAGTGGAGAGGAGCAGCCAGAGACGCGGCAGCAGCGCAAAGCGCACTGGAAGTGAAGGTGACGCGCTCCCCTGCCTCGGCTGCCGCGCCCTTGACCTCTAGTTGCAAGGAGGAAACGAGGGTAGAGGAGTAATTGAGGAACCCACGGAACTAACTGGCAACCAGGGGGCAAGACTGTGGTCTCTTCCGCGGCCCTCCCGCTCTCTCCCTTGTCCGTTCCATGCCCGAGAGTTGCGCTTTGGAGCTGGGGCGAGGAGAGACATGGAGGAACCCCGCGCTCAGTGCATCCCGCTGCCGACTGCGGGCTCCCAGACTGGGGTTTCTCAGGCTAACCTCTCCAGTCGTCTCTCCCACAACTGCATTAATGTCACTCCCACAACTGACGAGGTCTACATTTACCAGGACTCCATCGCCCTGCCCTGGAAAGTACTCCTAGTCATGCTGCTGGCGCTCATCACCTTGGCCACCACGCTCTCCAATGCGTTTGTGATCGCTACGGTGTACCGGACGCGGAAGCTTCGTACCCCAGCCAACTACCTGATCGCCTCCCTGGCAGTCACCGACCTTCTCGTATCCATCCTGGTGATGCCCATCAGCACCATGTATGCGGTCACTGGCCGCTGGACCTTGGGCCCGGTGGTCTGCGACTTGTGGCTGTCTTCGGACATCACCTGTTGCACTGCTTCCATTCTGCACCTGTGTGTCATCGCGCTGGACCGCTACTGGGCCATTACGGATGCCGTGGAGTACTCGGCTAAAAGGACTCCCAAGAGGGCGGCGGTCATGATCGTGCTGGTGTGGGTTTTCTCCATCTCCATCTCGCTGCCACCCTTCTTCTGGCGTCAGGACAAAGCCAAGCCAGACTGTGTGGTGAACACCGACCACATCCTCTACACCGTCTACTCCACGGTGGGCGCTTTCTACTTCCCCACCCTGCTCCTCATCGCCCTCTATGGCCGCATCTATGTGGAAGCCCGCTCCCGGATTTTGAAACAGACTCCCAACAAGACTGGCAAGCGTTTGACCCGAGCCCAGCTGATAACCGATTCCCCTGGGTCCACGTCTTCGGTCACCTCCATTAACTCGCGAGCTCCCGATTTGCCCAGCGAATCGGGGTCTCCTGTGTACGTGAACCAAGTCAAAGTGCGGGTCTCCGATGCCCTGCTGGAGAAGAAGAAGCTTATGGCCGCTAGAGAGCGCAAAGCCACCAAGACCCTGGGGATCATTTTGGGAGCCTTTATTGTGTGTTGGCTGCCCTTCTTCATCATATCCCTGGTGATACCTATCTGCCAGAAAGCCTGCTGGTTCCACCTGGCCATCTTTGACTTCTTCACGTGGCTGGGCTATCTCAACTCCCTCATCAACCCCATTATCTATACCATGTCCAACGAGGACTTCAAACAAGCGTTCCATAAACTGATACGCTTTAAGTGCACAAGTTGACTTGTCAATTGCAGTGGGGTCGCCTAAGCGGCCTTTGGGGACCATGTTGTGTCTGGTTCCACAGGTAGGTCGACTCTTCTTTCACTGTTACGGGGTCGGAGTGAGGTGCTCTCTTCTGGGCCAGGGCAATGGATCCTGAGAAGCCAGGACAGCCCTGAGAGAGAGAGAGCACGGGCGCGCACTCTGAATGGAGAACTGTTCCAAATAAAGATAGAGCTTCCCTGCTGAGGAGGAGGCTCACTTTCTCCCCCTCAAACCCCAGGTTCAGCACTGATCCTGCGGCAGCCAATCAAAAGGGGGGTTTGCAACTTTTTAAAAATCGATGATGGAAAGGTGATCCCTGCTCTGCTTTGGTGTCATGGATGATGCCCTCTAGAACCAGAGGTGCATGTAGTTGTTGTCTGAAGCCTGTCTGAGACAGATACATGCAGCCTGGCAGTCCTTGAACTAGACACTTGATACCCTGTGTTTGGGGGAGAACTTTGTGTTACAGCTTCATTTAAGAACAGTTACTTTGGCATCCTTCAGTCTTCAGTTTTTGTTTATTTAAACTTGGTTGGAGAAACTTGTGGATTTGGTGCTTCAAACCCTATGTGTGGCTTGGATGGCACAGAGAAACCTCGAAGAGTTAACAGCAAAATTCTGATGTTATGATCTCTATTTTTATTATAACTGAAAGTATATGGGGTTGGTGGGTGGCAATGGGAGACGGGAAGTGTTCAGATGAGAACCAACACCTATGATTGTTTTCTGCAGATTTGTAATTTTTTAACTCCTCTTTAGTGAATGTCAAACTACGTTTCTAACAACTCAAACAAAACATTATGTGTGCTAGTGCCAAAGTCTGTAGATTGCTTTATTTTTCCTCCTAATTTCATGTACCTGTCATTTTACACATTTAAATCCCTATAAATGGAGGCTATGATGGGTGACTCAGCCCAAGCTGCTGCTCTATTTCTTATTAATGCAATCGATTAAATGGATGATATTAGATACATACTGCTCCTTAACAAGAGAAGTATCTTTATTCTTTATCCAATTCAGTGAGATATAAAGGAGATTGATGAATAGGAATGGTTCTTCTACAATTAAGGAATAAGGGGCAATAGGAGGATGTATATTTTGACTTGTAAAAAAAAATCTTAAATGCATGAGACTTTTTTCTGATAGTCATTTGCACTCTCCTTCCCATTTGTAATTCCTTTGTGTGCTAACATATAAAGTAACCAAGAGAACTAGCTCCTTTCTCCAAGAATCTTCAAAATGCAGTAAGAACCCTAAAATCTATTAAAGAGAAAAAAAATTCGTTTCTTTTCACTTTCTATTGAAGTTTGGAAAGGAATGAAGATTACTTTTAAAAAGCTTAGACAAGCTAAAATTAAGCCTGCTTTCCTTCTAACTCACAGAACCAAGCCTCAGACTTACTAGATAATCAGTCAACTGACAAACTTTTGAACCTCAGAATTTGTCACTGACCTGATACCCCAATGAATATAATAACAGTAATACTGTTATTTATCTGTCTTTTCAAATTGCTACAATATTTACTTGTTTCTCAAATTCACTCTGAAGACTCCACAACACAGGACAAGATTATATACTAAAAGATGAAAAGTGCATTATATAAATAAATAAAAAGGAGTTAGCCTTGAAGGATCATCTACGCACAAAAAAAAATGTGTATGTGAAACATGTAATATGCCAAAGAAGATACACACTCCCTTCTTCAGAGAGCTTTCTGCAGTTGATACCTTTTGTCTGCAGAAGCAAGTTTGTCTTTTTAAAATGCATTCACTCCAGCTTGAAGCTCCCCAGTCCAGACTGTTAGACAATAGGTGCATTGAGCTGAAGTACACTGCCTATTGTGCAGACCTTCACCCTGGGGTAATGACTCTTGATATTATCCTATTCAAAGGTCCATGCATAAACTAAGTAAAAAAAGGGAATTTTGATCAACATTTACACTAGTCACTGGAGTAAGATAAAATTTTAGGAATTAGATATTCCTATATTTCTGCTGTATCCCCGAGTTCCTGTGTGTCCACACACGTGTGTGTGTGTGTGTGTGTGTGTGTGTGTGTGTGTGTGTGTGATTTCTCCTATGGAGAAATCTAGTTTACTATTGATAAGAATGTTCATAAAGCACAGTATTTATGTTATTATATTTGTTTTTTGTTTATGCAGCTGTGTTTTCTTTGGGCCTAAGAAGCAATTAAGTTAACTTCTAGGCACCTGAGCGGGAAAAATTAATTGAAACAAATAGCCACTTACAAATGATTATTTGGCACCTACAATGATTGTGTCCTCACATTAACAAAACACGGTCAATTTAGTCTAAGGGAATGTTTGCCTTTTTTTGTAGATTACCCACCTGAACTTTTGCTTAACTATTTGGCTGAACTGACTGGACTTGGGGCATATTGTATGAAGTAGAAGCTTGCAAACACTTGTATTTATAAGAGATCTAGAATCATCATCCAGCACTGCACATGGTTATGCAAAGTGTATTATTCACCCCAGGGGTATGTAGTTAAGACTGTTAAGCTCCTTTCAGTTACTGCTTTCTATAGCATAGTTTGTTTCATAAACTAGACATATGGCTTTTCTGCAGACCATAAAATGGGAGATGCAAATGTTTAACTTACAAAGAAATGAAAATACATTTTCATTGGCTGTGGTAACAAATAACATTTTCCATATTGCTTAATTGCACAAATTTTCAGACAAATATATGAATGTTTACTCATCCCAAAATACCAATATTGTCTTGTGTTTCTAGGAATTTTAGAGTTTCCTTTTTAAGAATGGACACTGCACCCATGAATGAATTGTTATTGAGTTTAACAAATTTCCTACAGAACAATGTTCTTCACTTTTTCTCTCTATTATCTTAGTTTTATCTTCTTTAAACAGGAAACCCTAAGAGGACTATAATTCACGCAAGCAGTAAAATCTCAGATTTTGTGTTCCATAGAGTTGTTGTGACTGAAAATTGCTGTTGGTATTCCACCTTTCAACAAATGTGTATTTGGAAATGAAATTTAGGTAAATAATGAAATAAAAGTCCTTTTTGTGTTCTAAAATGCTTTGGGTAGTAATTCTATTATTATGGAAAGATTGGTTCATGGGATTCTGGGTTACATTTAGGAGTTTAAGCCTTCAAGAGAGAGTAATTGATGACACAAGATTCTGTGGTGGACTGGCATACGTACAGCCATGATTTGGGGGGTTTAGTTTATATCTGAGGAAGAATTTAAAAGGAATTAGACAGATCATGCTCTCACGTTCTGCGAAGAGGGTAACTTAGGTTCTCTCTCACAAGAATTTTCCAGATCAGCATCCTTACAGGTAAAGTTTGGTCTCTGGTCTAGGTAGTAAGATTTCAACGTACTGTGTGGTTCTTGAAATACAGAAAAAGGAAAAGGAGGAATTGGATTAGAAGCAGTCTTGGGGGAGATATCAGAGGAGGAGACTTACTTCTCTGAACACCAGAGAAGTCGGCAGAAAAATAGCTTTTGGAATCAGAACGCCCTCGATTTGAATTTCAAATAGAGCTGTGTGGTTCTGCTCCTCAAACGCAGCCTACTTGCCGTTTGTTGCAAAGGATTACAGACTATGTAAAGCACCTATCAAAATACCTGACACTTTTTGGCTCTCAGCAGATGATACCTTCTCTTTGGCCATTATTTCTCCATTGCCTCCTTTGTAGATACAGGGAAACTGTAGTACAGAAAAACTGAGGGCTATTTGAGAGAGGTTTGCCTGAGGAAGACCAAACTAGACAGAATGGGAGAAACTTGGCTAAACTAGAAGTAACTGAAGTTTGCAACTTTTCACACTTACTCCCTGAGGCTGACACATAGACCAAAGACCAAAAGAGAACACGAGAGATGGTTTGTACAGGGTCTAGCCGCCAAGAGGAAATTGCCAACTATTTCATTTCATATAGCATCCTCTTCTTTACTGTCAATCCCTCCTTCCTCTTCCTTGTCTAGAGATTTCCAGCTGTCCCCCAAGTGTCCAAATTCCCTCACTGCATCTACGTCTTTTCTTGATGTCTCATTTTCCACTTCTCTTTTCTCACCCATGCAAAGCCATGATAACCAATGATAATGTGTTGATCAACTCTTATTTTCCTGTGGAACAGTGATTAAGTAGGCCAGCGTTTTGTATTATATAAAAGGAAATTGTTAATCCAAATTAATGTGTAATTTGTGAGATCAAAAGGTGTCAACCGAGGCATCTACTGGAGTTTACAGAAAGGGCAAAGGCTGGTAGGGGACCGGTGTGGGAAGTGAAGCTTCACTTTCATCCAAGCCCATCCTTGAACAGTCCACCAGGGGGCAGAGTGCCCTTGAGTTGTTTAGAGGATGCCGGTGCTCACCGTTTGAAATCTCTTAATTCCCCCTTCCTGGACACTGCAAATGGTATTGTCTCCCGACTCAGTGAAAACAAAGATCCATAAGCCAAGGGAAAGAGAGCTTATTATTTATTTCAAAGAGCAGATTTTCAGAACTGCAAATTTAGACAGATGATCCCTAAAACTCAAAGTTTTTCTTCATGTATGCAAACTTATTTAATTATTCATCTCTAGTTCTGGAGTAGTGCTAAAATCTTAGCATTTTAAAACACTGTGACCTTTGATTAGTGTGGCACTGGGTAAAGTCAGAGGTTAGGAGACAATTTATATTCAAAATAAAGGGAATTAATTATTTACATATATATATATATATATATATATATATATATATCACCACTATCTTTTTATTTTCACTGTGTTTTTCAAAATTTCATTGATTTGAGGTTGACATATCCATAGTTCAAAGGCAAAACACTTGCCATTTAAAGAGAGGGCTGCTTTTTTGCACAGAAGTAAGGTGCACGATATGTCAGTTTTTCCCGGAAGGTAGACATTCAAGTCTGTGTAATTTTGGCATTTACTTTTAAAACAGGCATATATAGATGTGAATATAATCTTATTTATCAAAAATAAATTTCTGTGTCAGGAAATGGATTATATAAAATAAGAAAACAAATGAGGTCATATCATTGTATTCTTCCTTA